GAGCATCTGTAAAGAGTGATACCAGCTTGGATCGAGGGAATCTCTAATACGGAGGAGAAAACGTATCACATTGCACGGGCTACACTTCTCATCGGGATGTGTCTGCCGGGACGCCTGGGCGGCTCAGTCCGTTGAACGTGCAGACGTTCAGCTCAGGTTATGATCTCGGGGTCCCGGGATCTGAGTCCCTGCTCAGCGCGGAGCCTGCTGCCTCCCCTGCTTGTGTACTCTCTCTCTCTGACAAATAAAATACTTACACAAAAAAGAGTATTTCTCCAATTAACGGGATTCCAGATGTCAAACCAGTGCTTGACAACAGCTCTGATGCTCGTCCGATGCCGGGTCACACACTGGCTAGGCTGCTTTATACTTCTACCCTCCTTCCTACCCACCCTTGGCCTCCAGGGGAAGGGACTGCATTTTGCAATGACTTGAACACATGCTCGTGGACGGGGAGGAGGAGGTGGCGTGCAAGGGAACCCTGGAAAAACCCAGAATGAACTGAAATGGACAAAACGTACACGAGGCACCCGAATCTCTCACCTTCCTCACGGTATCAGCCCAGGTATTTCCAGCCAGGTGTGGGCGCACCTGCTTCCCTCCTCCTTGCTCACCCTCACTTAGCTTCATTGTCATTACTCAGCCTCCTCTCCGCACCCCTGCGCGTCCTGAGATGTCCGTGTCCGAGGGGTTCTGGCTGTGCCTTCTACACATGCTCCTTTCTTGGGGTGCGATGCTGTTCCACAGGCTTGACCCTGGAGCTGGGCGTGGCTCCCTGCGCGGAGGGACTCCGTGCGGTGTGGCCCTTGCTGGCCACCAGCACCTACTTGGCCCACAGATATTTTACATTCTTTGGGACCAAAACGCCCGGGCAAACTTTTCAGAAACTCGTCTCCCTCTGGCAGAGCAACTACCTTCAGGAAAGGCTTCTGGGTAGGAAAGTCCAGGCCTTTGACTCTAAAAGAAACGTCCAGACGTGATAGAAACAAAGCCTCTGGGGTTCCATGGGGCCCGCAAGAGCAAGGGCTTCTTTGCTCCCTGCTCCACATTCCTCTGGGTCTCTTGTACATTTTAAGAGATTCCCTACAAAATGAAGTAAACATTTATATTTCTTTTATCGAGTGGAAAGACACTGTTGTTAAAAAACAAAAAACAAAACAAAACAAAACCCTAAGAAAGAACGAGAGTGGATCTAGAGTCAAAGTTCAGTGTCCTCGGAGTCTGTGGCAGGCGAAGGCAAACCTCGGGCCCTCAGCCAGGGGCCTGAGCTGGGCCCTGTCCCCCATTCCCTCAGCAGAGTGGTGATCTGGGCACAGGAGCGCAAAGTAGACGCCATGTGTCCGCCACGCAGCACTGGAGGGCAGGGCTCGGAAGCAGACGTAGGGGTTAAACCCGCCAGACTTCCTTGTCCCAACCGTGGACATGAAAAAAAAAAAAGAAAAGAACCAGCCCTTCCTCTTCATGCTCAGGAGCCCTGCAGGCCGGGGCCACAAGGCTCCCCGCAAAGGAATGACGGACGACCCAACCGGAACCTGAGCCAAGAAGGGACAATGGTCCCACACCGTCTGCAGGAGGAAAGGGAAGCCGGAAGCAGCAGCTCCTCAGGGGCTTGAAAGGTTCTCGTTTCTGTCCTTGTGAGCACAGCCAGGGCCTGCAGGTGCGGGGGCCTCCGCCGGCCTTCTGCCCCCTCCCCCCCATTGTTCTTACAGTCCAGTCCATGGCCCTTCCGCCAGCCGCGGGGCCTTCAGAAGGATGTGGTGGGGACAGGGAGCCGGAAGGGAGCTAGAAGGCCACCACCATTGACCCCTCCCACTCCCTTTCCAAGGTGGCTTGTCTCATCTGTGCCGCTGCCCCGGGCTGCAAATTCTTCAGTCCCGAGAGCAAGTGATGCTTACAGGACTATTTGGGTCGACAGAAACAAGACAACTAGAACAAAAGCCAGGAAGTCAGAAATGGTTTCCAATATGGTGCATCGACCCGAGAGCAGGCCCCTAGGTGTTACCGGCTGAGGGCCTGGTGCTTTCCGTGCTTGCACAGAGGCTGCTCCGAACCGCACTGAGGGAAGAAAACAAACCACAGAGGCCTGTAGTCCTGTCTTTGTTTCGGACACAGGCACGACGTCGTCACTGGAGCCGTGTTTGGATGGGTCCTGATCCGAAGAAACCATTTGTAAAATGCCATTTTTGAGACAAGGGGAAATTTGAATATGAACAGGTTTTAGATGATATTAAGGAATTCTTGTCATTATTTTTAAAGACTGATTTTTTTTGAGAGTGAACGAGAGCGAGAGAGAGAGAGCACAAGCAGGGACCCAGGGAGAGGGACACGCAGGCCCCCCGCTGAGCAAAGAGCCCCATGTGGGGCTCGATCCCAGGATGCTGGGATCATGACCTGAGCGGAAGGCAGACGCTTAACCGACTGAGCCACCCAAGCACTCCTATAGTCAAAGAATTGTTTAAATGTGTTTTTTAAACTTTAATTTAACTAACATACAATGTATTACTGGTTACAGAAGTACAGGCTGGTGAGTCCTCAGTCGTACACAATCACAACGCGTGCTCTCCTTAGTGTCCATCCCCAGCCACCCCTCCACCGCCAGCAAACCTGTTTGATTAAGTCTTTTATGGTTTGTCTCCTGGTTTCATCCGGTTTGATTTTTTCTTCTCTTCCCCCATGATCCTGTCTTGTTTCTCAACTTCCTCATATCAGAGAGATCATATATTTGTCTTTCTCCGATTGACTTATTTCTGTCAGCATAATACCCTCTAGTGCCATCCACGTCATTGCAAATGGCAAGATTTCTTTCTTCCTTTTTTTTTTTTTTAAATGTGTGGTTTTTCTTAACACGTTTCTGTTAGGGGTGCCTGGGGTGCTTTGTCAGTGGGCATCAGGGCTCTTGGTGTCTGCTAAGATCTTGATCTCTGGGTCATGGGATCAAGCCCGCATCTGGCTCAGAGCTCTTCCTCTACCCATCCCCCTGCTCTCTTAAATAAATTGTTAAATGTAATAAGACATTACAGTTATGTAACAAAACTTACGTATTTTTAAACATGACCAAAGAACATCAGGTAAACTGACATGTTTTGGGATTTGTTTTCAAATAATTCAGAAAAGAGGAAGAAGGAGAAAGGGGCGGCTGCAGCGTCACTGAGGCGGATGCGTGGAAGTGGGTTTTACCCTCCCCTCTCGTGCCACTTTGAAATCCTTCACAGAAAACGTGAATATACAGGGAGAACGTGTGTGCGGAACCTGTCATAGAAACAGACGGTCAGTGCCTTGCCTCGTCTCCACCCACGACAAGTGCCACTTTCCTCCCCGGCAAGAGCGCTCCCTCCGCTGTCCCAGGCACTCGGGAGAGGGTTAAGCCATCGGTTCCTCACCCCAACTGGGCCAGCACCGCAGTCACCCAGAAGGATGCGGAGGGAGCCTCGAGGGGTCGGGGAAGAGAGAATCTGAGGTTTCCACTTAAATACTGCCAAGCCCGCCCGGGGGGGCCGCCTCAGCAATCACGAGTGTGCGTTTGGTTGGCGTACTCCCCGTGCAGCCTGGAAACCACAGCCCCAGTGGGAGAAACTCCCCCGGACCCAGTTCCCGGTACTCTACCTCTGTGTGCTGAAGGAGGGTCTCCCTTCCCGGCGCCGCATCACGTGGTCGCTGCACTCCCGTGAGATCCTCTCCCACGGCCGGCCTGAGCGCCGACCCTCTCCCACTCCGGAGAGCGTGAAGGCCAGCCGCCTGTGCTTCTGCAGTAATTTTAGCAAGTTAATAAATCCCTAGAAAACATCATGGCTTATAAGACATTACAGCGTTTTGTTTTCTTAAAGATTTTATTTATTTATATGACAGAGCACAAATAGAGGCAGGCAGAGAGGAGGAAGCAGGCTCCCCGCCGAACAGAGAGCCCGACGCAGCGCTCGATCCCAGGACCCTGGGACCATGACCTGAGCCCAAGGCAGACACCCAACAACTGAGCCACCCAGGCACCCTCATTACCTGTGACACAGCTCTCAACAGACTGTCACCATATTTGTCTTCCAAACTGAGTGTGGCCCCTGCTCCCTGTGTCTGTACGACACCGCCCTCACGTCAGCCCCACTGAGCTCCTCCTGAACACGAGGACTGCCTTTCAGGCACACGACACATTGATTCGAATAAAGAACTTCTTGTATTTATTTGCTTATCTTGGTGACCTAGGCCACAGGGCAGTGTTTCAGAACAAGCCCAGTCCTGCCTCTCTGGACATTATTCGCTGAGTGACCTCCAGCAAGGTCTATACCGCAAGCATGACACGCTTTCCACAAGTGGGGTGAAGAGTTGTCCAAGCAGCGTGTGCGCCGTGCGACGCAGAGTGAGAAATGCCGAGTGCCGGGCCCACAACAAGCGCTCAGTCGGTGCTGGCTGGCGCCGTTGTGCTCCGTCACGCTTGCTCTGTGGCAAGGGCCTGGAGCTTGGCTTCTGCATTTGTTTCCTGTGCTCGGCACAGCCCCTGGGGCAGGACCATTCTCATTCTAAACGTGCTGAAGGAACAGCGTCCCCCTCCCACCCGTCAGTGCTTGCTGAGCCCCGGCGAAGCGCCAGGTGCTGGTCTGTGCCCTGAAGAAGCCGTGAGCCGGAGCCGTGCTCTGGGGCTCGTGCTCCCACGGGCAGAGCCGGCCGAGCACACGGCAGTGGGACCGAGGAGGCCGGAGAGCCGGCCGAGGGGGTGAGGCGGCTGTTCTACATGCGGCCGGAAGTCTCTCCGAGGGGAGCGACGCTCACAGGAAGTGGGGGAGCAAACCACCCAGACAGACACCAAGTGCAAGCTCCAGCCGAGGGGATGGCAGGTGCACAGGGCCTGAAGCCCGCAGTGCGCGGTGCTCCGAAGAGTGAGGAGCCCAGTGCGGCCCGAGGGGACGGCAGGTGCACGGGGCCTGAAGCCCGCAGTGCGCGGTGCTCCGAAGAGTGAGGAGCCCAGTGCGGCCCGAGGGGGACGAATGGTAAAGAAGGAAGACATGACATGATTCAGTAATTGAAAAAGATGTATTAAGATATTCACAAAAGTACAACAATTCTGAAGAAGGAAAAAACAAAAAATAGTAATGAACTAGATGGGTTTTCCCGAGCTGGACACATTTCACTGAAAACCGAGAGGTGGTCTGGGATCTTCATCTCTTAACAAATGCCTTCTGGGTGTCCCCTGATCACATGGAATGTTAAAAGGTCTCGTCCTGCCACTAATAAGGCACAGGAGAGGCAGCTCTGCCAGCTGAGAGCAACCCCACCGTTGTCATCTGCGGCAAGCAAGGGCACACCGGGACACACGAGGAAGGGCTAGGAGGCGCCTGCTACCAGGGCCAGGGGTCTGGCTGGGCGGCAAGGGGGCCGGGGGCCGTTGCTAGAGCGGGTGCTGAGCTCTCAGTTTTAATCGATTCCACGTACTGGGGGAAGTAGGGGGTGGAGAGTAAACATCAGAAAAAGAAAACCCCCCAAAACCCCACCCCAAACTTCAAAACAGTGACAGAGAAGGGAACCCCAGAGTAGAAGTGCTAATAACCCTACCCACTGATTCACAAAAGTCTAGACTATCTTCAGCCTCTTGAGACACTGGGAAGCTATCACGGAGCTATGACTGATGCCACCTCTTGCCGGAGTCATGCCGGAAGCTTTTCCAAAGAGGATCGTCTCACGACAGCTCCGGGTGCCGCAGACTGGCTTTGTAATTACCCCATTTGTGCCTACTTAAAAGGAAAGGAAACTCCTCTCCTTCAGCTGGACGGAGACCCTTCTTCAAGCAGGAAGGACTTGGGCAAAGAATGTTAAGTGGTACTTCTTACTCTCCAGATGATACCCACTCCTCAAGCAAGGCCTGGGCTTCCTCCGTCAACGGTGTTTATGGTATTGATCTGAAAGCATCTAGGAAGTGGTGGCCTTGGCATTTACCCTTTGCTGGTCTCGCTCTACCAGATCCACGAACTGAGAGGATCTAACATGAAAGCTGGTCTCACAACATGCAAAGCGAAAAACCGCCCTGTATTCTAGAGAGAAAAACACCAACAAAGACTTCTCAAGCTGCGTCTAAGGGGCGCGCAAGTCGAGGCTTTCCAGCTCCTGCAGCCCAGCAGGGTGCCGACACTGGTCAGTGTCTCCACTCTCCGACCACGATAAATGCTAAGACTGGCTAAGCCCTTAGACCACAGGGCCACGTCTACTGGAACACTAAGGATCTGCTACCGTCTCCACGAAGGCAAACCGCACGTAAATGACAGCAACAGGAATGTTTCAGACTTTCCCCAACTTAAATGGCCCTGGAAGACAGCACGGAACAGCACGGCGGTTCATATATACGTAGAATCGTAGCATCTTGTCGTCATGCAGCACTGGCTCCCCGTATCAGATCAAATAGAATGTTTATACATATCCTTTATACAGTCTTTTTCTCCTCCCGTGAATAAAACATGTGTTCATCCTTGCCCAGCTCTCCCAGGCCACACGGGGTTATGGGCTCCATTTTCTGCACAAGTGTCCCGTTTCATTTATTTCTTGCTTAGGATATGTTCTGGGTCTTCTCTTAATTTTTCCGGATGTCCGCATACACCACAGACTCTGACTTGTTAATCTTGTCACTGTGATGTCCGCCAGAGTGGTCTAACTGCGCATATATGACTGGGCCCTGGAGGAGAGAAGGACAATTAGGGGTTTGGGAAAACCGGGGGTCCCTCCAGGGGCAGGTGCAGAAGCAATCATTGAAGAGGTAACATTAGGGTTCCAGAGTCATCAAGGAGACCTCTTAGGAACAGCGTGTCCAGCGCAGACCCTGAAACAAGGCTGGGGACTGTTAAAGCCGGTGCCTGGGGGCACGTTACCTTATGCCATCTACTTCTTCATCTGTTTGGGGATTTCTATACAGCAGAATGTTCCTCCTTAGGAATTACCCTTACCTCAATACCTGCCACAAAATCCCTCAGCCCTTGGAACTGACGGATAAGATGGGCACTTATCCCAACCCAAGACGTCCTGAAATCATGAGCCTCAGACTAATGCCAGTAAGAAACCAGCATCCTGGGTATCACTCAAAGATATGCCCAGTCTGAACCGGTCACTTTGTACAAAGAGGTGCTTAGAAACATTTCAAATCCTCTCTCATGTGCCTACTTAGAGTATAACCCTTTCGGTCCGATCCTGTCATAACAAAGATATTGCTTCACTGACATCTAAGACCACGTAACTGAGCCCCCCAGGCGCCCCATATACCACTAATTCTTAACACACTACCTTGGAGTTCATCTAAATATGAAGATCTCCTCAAGGATGTTTGCCGGGGTATTCAAGAAACAAAAACTAAACAACCCCCCCCCAAATATTCATTAGGATTAAACAAAAATTCAGGACATCACAGAAAAGCCTAAAAATGATCCCAATAATCCAGGAGACCCTAAGGTTTTGGCGGGCAGGGTCTGGGTGCCAGTCATCTCCCCAGCTCAGCCTATGCGGCCTGCAGGCAAGTGCCCGCGCGCCTGTGGAACAGCTCACGCCGGGACAGACCGACCAGACTCCTAAGAGAACCCTGATGTTTGGTTGCATTCAACTTATAAAAGACGATTAATCTAGGGCACCGGGGTGGCTCAGGAGGTTCAGCATCTGCTCGGCTCAGGTCATGATCCCTGGGTTCTGGGATCAAGTCCTGCATTGGGCTCCCTGCTCGGTGGGGAGTCTGCTTCTCCCTCTCCAATTCGCCCTGCTTGTGCTCTGTCAAATAAACAAACAAAATCTTTAAAAAAAAAAAAAAAAAGGTAATTAATCTCATAAATTCCCTAATAAGATGAACATACCAGGTCAAGTACGTTTTCCCTAAACTGGGAAGATCTTTGCAGCCTCCATCTGAACAAGCTGAGGGAGAGCGTATGTCACAAGGGTTCTGGCGAAAACAACTTCCATCAAACACTCCGATGCTCGGCGAGGCATCGCTCTGGAACCTGAAGATGGCACTTGAGCGATGGTGAATGAAAGCACATGCCGGGGGCGCCCGGGGCTCAGTCAGGTAAGTATCACGTTTGATTTCGGGATTGTGAGATCGAGCCCTGTGTTGGGCTCCACGCTCAGAGGGGAGTCTGGCTGGAGACTCTCTCTCTCTGCCCCTCCCCCCTGCTTTCTCTCTCTAAAAGGAACAAATAAATCTTTAGGGAAAAAAAGCACAGACTAGGATCACCTGTTAATGCTCTATGGCACTTGGGAACTTTATGGTGTGAAGGAAGCAAACATTTTTGCCTTAGGAGAACAGTCCCTGTTGTGAGTTGACATGGCCATGAGATGCAACGCCAAACAAAACAAAAGCCAGAAGAGAAGTCTGCTAGGAAATCACATGATCTACGTCTAAGCCTGGCCCTAACTGGCAGAGGATGTTTACGTTCCAGAAACAGGTAAGGCAGAAACTAGTTTGAACAAGTACAACTGCAAAATAAAAGGTACAGTATGACTTGATAAAAATAAGTGAGTCAGACGAAGGGTACTCAGGTGCACGCCACCTGAACAGAAACCCTGATTTGCAGTCTGATGGGGACAGAAGAGGCCTTCAGGGCTTTGCCCTGGGCACAAAGGAAATCACCCAGGAATCAACTGTGAGGAATGCCCCAATTCTGCTCCCAAAGCTAGTCTGCTGTTACCTTGCAGATGCTGAAAAATGCCCATATAGGTTGACACCGTGGTTGGATTCTCACCAACTTCGGCCTGGGCAGAACCCTGGGGGCTGACTTGCAAGAAGAGAGGTTGTCTCCGACTCAGGGCCAGCAGGCACGGGAGGGGGAGGTGTCGGCCCTCCAAACACGGTGGGCAAGTTTGCCTATAGAGCAAGGAGCCCTCGTGTGTCCTTCCTCTGCTCCGCTCCCAGCAGGGACTTCCTTCTGGAGAAAGTGATGAACCCAAGAAGAGAAGACTCCCAGCAGCGGGTTCAGAGGTCCCCGGTGGAAGACAAGCAGCACCTTATACCCACAGGAAAGCCCATGACCGAGGAAGCTCTGTCCCTATACAAGCAGCTTCAGGTCAGATCTGAGCACCTTCACTATCAATGGGTAACCAGGGGTGACTAAGCGTTTGAGTAAAGCTTCTAACATCAAAGAAACGATAAGAGAAAAAGGTAACTGAAAAGAAACAGCAAAATCAAGTGACAGAAGAAAACATTTTTTAAAAAAATCACATAAAATATATGAAAAAATGATATGTGCAGAGAGAAGAAAATGCATCCATGAAAACAAGTACAGGATGTTATAGCGATAGAGTAAGAAAAAGCTTTTGAAAATTATTAAGAAAGGGGCACCTGCATGGCTCAGTCAGTTAAGTGTCTGCCTCCAGCTCAGGTCATGATCCCAGGGGCCTGGGAATGAGCCCTGAGTTGGGCTCCATGGAGCCTGCTTCTCCCTCTCCTCCTGCCCCTGTTCTCTCTCAAATGAGTAAATAAAATTTTTGAAATACATACATACATACATACATACATGCATACTGAGAAAACTGCAAATAAAAAACAAGGCAAATACTGACTCCATGAAAAATGAAAAATTATAAAAGGAAGCAAATATATGTGGTACAATGGTGGGGAAAAAAAAGGTACACACAGCTCTGAAATATACCTAAATAGAGTGACATAACCACATCGGGAAGAGGCCTGTGTGTATGTATGTGTACAGAATGTGTGTTAGGAAAAAAGACTGGGAGAAAAAGAAATGTATATTTTCATTTTCCATAGTATGGAGTCGGTAGATAATATCTAAAAGTGAAGAATCTAGAAGTAGTAATATAATAAAGTTGTTTAGAAACATGAAGATAAATACCAGAAGAAATAGTTAAAAGAATGGAAAGCATTCGGCTATTATGTAATTTTTTTCCTTATTCTCTTCTCTTTCCTTCCTTTTTCTGACTCTAGTCAGATGTGGCCCATCTCCTCTGGTGAACCCTTCTCTTCATGCTTCATTTTGGGTAGTTTCTATTGCTGTCTTCAAGCTTTCTGATCTTTTCTTCTTTGGGTTATGCCATCAAATGCTGCTGCTGTTGTTTACGCCCCACCCCCCACCCCATTTTGGTCTTTTTTATATTTGTTTCATTATGTCAAGGTTTCCTTTACATCATTAAGGTTATTTCTAAGATTTTCATGCTTGTTTAAAAGTCCTGGTTCCATGTCCATTGTCTGTCATTTCTCGTTTTGTTTCTATTGATTGGCTTTTCTCCTGGTTATGTTATTATCTTCCTGCTTCTCTGTATGTGTGGTAATTTTTGATTGGTGCTAGACATCGTAAACTCTGCATTGCTGGGTGCTGGATTTTGTTGTATTCTTGTAAAGAGTGTTGGATTTTTGCTCTGGCCTGCAGCTGAAATACTTTCACTTTAGTCTGATTCTTCAAAGGCCTCCTTTGAAGCTTTGTTACGGTGGGCCCACGGTGTCCACATGCTGGTGCCGCACTAGCTCTACTACTAAGGCATGACCAATTGTGAGGACTGCAACCAAAGCTCTGTGTAACACCAGGTCTCTGCATTCTGGCCTTTAGGAACACAAACAGTTCCCGGCCCTGACTGGTATCATAAAATCTGCTGCTTTTCGAGTGGCTCTTTCTCTGACTGGAGGGTGTTTTCTCCCATGCAAGCTAAAATCTCTACTCAGGAGAAGGCTCAACGGAGTCCCACCACTGCACATTTCTTTTTCTCTGTGGTTTCTTCTTCTCTGGTACTTTGCTTCATAAATCCTAGACACCTTGGTCTCCCCAAACACTGACTTCTGCTCCTCAACTCACTGAGACAACTGAATATCGTTTTGCTTCCCCTCCCAGCCCTGCCATCTGGGAACTGCCTCGAGGCAGTAAGCTCAGAGAGTCACAGGGCTCCTCTTATTTGTGTCCTTTCTCTCAGGGATCACAGTACCATACTACGCTGTTTCATTTTCCAATGTCCAAACACCATTCTGGTTTTTATTTCCTTGTTTGTTTTGAACAGGTAAGCAATGCCCACAGCACTTCAAGCAGAAGAAAAAGTTTCCAAGCCTTCTTCAGATGTTATGTCGAACTCTCAAGCCTTTATTCATAACCCTATTCCCGTCTGCAACCCAAATTAGTGAGCTGAAGTATCTGAGACATAGTATGTTCTCTAAGAGAGACAGACAGACTAGGAATTAGTCATGAGCCCTGATGCTATGATATGACAGAGAATGTGCTAGAACCTGAGTTCTAGGCCCAATTCTGTGAACTGCCAGGTGTGTGCTTTTAGGGAGCGACCATCACAGTGCCTCAGTAAAAGCTGTGGAATAAGAGCATGGAGGGGCGCCTGGGTGGCTCAGTGGGTTAAGCCTCCGCCTTCGGCTCGGGTCATGGTCTCAGGGTCCGGGGATCGAGCCCCACGTCGGGCTCCCTGCTCAGCAGGGAGCCTGCTTCCCCCTCTCTCTCTGCCTGCCTCTGCCTATTTGTGCTCTCTTTCTCTGTTAAATAAAGAAATAAAAAAAAAATCTTAAAAAAAAAAAAAAAAAAAAAGATGAGTGCTGTGAAATGCGTAAACCTGGCGATTCACAGACCTGTACCCCTGGGGATAAAAATACATTATATGTTTATTTTTTAAAAAATTAATTAATTTTTAAAAAAAGGAAAAAAGAAAAAGAGCATGAGTATCACCCTCCACAGAACACTGTCATTCTGTCCTTCAGTTCCCTTTAAATCCATCGGAGCTCCAAAACACCTCAGGGAAAAACTGGAATTGGCCAAATTCCTTAGAATGCTTTCTACCCCGGAAGGACAGAATTGGTCCTAAGCTCTGGAATTTCTGCCGTGCCGCAGTTAGAGTCCCAACAACACAGCCGAAACACATTATCAAGCACGACACTAGATCCCATGCTGAGTTCCAAATCACAGTTACTTCTCCTCTGTGCTTTCGATACGAAGTCCACATCCACGCTGCTCCCTGTTCATCGAGCTTACCGGTTACTCAGACACATCTTTACTTTCAGATTCTTCTAGAGAACTCATACCAAAAAACGGTTCCTGTTTTATTTTCAATACCAAGAATATCACTTTTTCCTGCTAATTCCTTGTCTTGCAGGCGCCTCAACGCATAATTTAGTTCACTAGACTTGTTTCCTTAAGCAGTTAAGGAATTACATCTGGCGAAGCCATCCCCTCATTTCATCGGGCCGAGAGGAGCAGCATGACTAGTACAATCCAAACGGTGGAACCCTTTGCGGGCCGGATTCTTCGGCACGCGTTCCCGTGGCCCTCCTCAGCCAGCTCTTGCTTCCCCCTTCCCGGGTTGCTCTCTTTCCTGCCGCAGGGCTCAGGACTGTTTCCTGCACCAGCAAAGTGGCAGGGCGCAGAGCGGGGGACAGGGCTGCAACGGGCCGTTACCTGGGGGGATCCGGAAGGCAGGCTCTTTACCAGACCCTCTGCGTCGGAGGGTGACTTCCGTGGAGCCTCCTTCAGTGGTGACGCGCTCTCTGATGTACTGCAGCTGGTGAGGTGGCAGTTTGGAGAACAAATGTGAAAAAAAAAGAAAATAAAGAAAATAAATGGAAAAAATATATAGATGGGCAAATGACGACAAGATGAAGCAGCAGATACAACACAACACAACAGAACGATGAGGGTCAACATGGTACAGGCTCGAGGCTATTTCTCATCCCTGACACTACTTCTCTCGAGGCGACGAACCCACTGTGTGTGCACAGAAACCAGCGAGGTGCACCCTCTTGGACCCACACTGCAATCACGCTACCTGCTGAGGGGGTTCCAGCTCTCGGGGTCACTTATGCTTCCGCCGCTCTGTGTCTTCCCTCTGCTATCATCCCCCTCGGCGAGCAAGCCAAGCCTTCCTGTCACTGGCTCGAGGCAGACCCCTGCTGAGTGTGCTCCAGAAGTCACAGACCCGCACCCAGGTGCGTCTCCTTCCTTCTGCCCCGTAGCGCCCCAGACTCAGCTTCCCCACGAAGGCTGCAGCCCAACCAAAGAGAACCCAGGAGGTCACGAACACTAAGAAACTGGGATGTCACATCACCCAGGCTGAACTTGGTCAGGCCTCTGGGGGTCTTTCAGAATAAGCATTACCTCATAAATAAAGGCAGAGTGACTGCAGGAGGAAACTCATTAGGGATTCTCTAATGGTACTTGTCGGAGCTTAAGTCCTTTATGATGCATTTTTTAAAGCAACTCTCAGGAGTGGGGAGGTGTGGGGTGGGGTGGGGGGGTGTCACATTCAAGTGTGGTTACTAAGACCAGAGCGACACTGTGCTCTGGGAATGGCGTCTTCTCCGAAACAGGAAGCTCTGAGCTCTGACCCCAAACCAAAATGGTCCGGGGATCTTACACAAAAAGGGTCTCAATCACCAACACCACAATTCACATATGAAAGAACACTGACACACACGCACACGCCACACTCCACACGAAGAACATACATACTGCGATGCACAAACCCTCTAGGAACACTGACAACCCAGGTTCCGGGGATGGCACACTCGACAAGGGGCCTGTGCAAACACAGGACGCATCCGTGGACAAACGGTAGTAACTGCTGGGTTAGCTCAGAGCTAGCGGGTTAGCTGTCGACAAGGGCGAGGGGCGGAACACACACACGTCATGTTAACAGCAACGGGCAGTGTGATTGGTTACCATGTGTCTACTGGGAGTGGAAGAGGACCCCAGCCCTGCCACAGTCCCAGGGTGTCGTCTATGTCAGCTTTTCTTAGGAAGTGGCAGATGAGCAGGATCTGATCCCAGCACACCACGGCAGAAAAAGCAGGGGAGGAAAAAACCACAGTCAGAAGAAAAGCAGCATTCACGATGCCATGCAGGATTCTAAGGCACAGTTCTGCCCCCTTCTGAGCCCCAAAGCAAGAGCCACAGACCCAGGCGTGTCACCACCCGCCGTTAGTCTCACATTGAAAACCAGCCCTCTAGTTACAGGTCTTCGTAAAGCACTCACCATGCAAAGGGGAAGACAGAGTCAGCAGGACAGAGCATTCCAAGCAAACAAGATCTGAATTTGAACACTCAAACTTGTTAGAACACGGCACTCCTACTAAAGACCAGAGCAGTGGAGCCCGGGTTCCTACCACCAGCAGCACGGGGGTCCGGGGCACGCCATCCTCTCGGAGCACAATCCCTGATTCAGGCTGTTGCTGGTAAGCCCGCGCACAGGGGGCCCGGCTCGCACTGCTGCCTGAACCCGGCCTCCACTCGGTCTTACCCTGGGAGTCCTACCTAGCGTGCGTGGGCTGGCCGGCCAGCTGGAGCCAGGGAGAAGTCCTTCAGTTAGACACGCACCCTCTGCTCCGAGGTACTCTCTTTCCGAAGCCATAAACAAAAAGACAATCTACTTCTCTTTATTGCTGGTACACTCTGCTGTTCAGCTCTCACTAGCCCGGTTTCGAGGGTGCAGCCGTGTGTTCGAGAATGAGCACAGCAGTAAAACTGCTCACGAAACAGGAAGAGCGGGAAAGCCCTCACGTCACAGCTGCTGCGGCTGTCAGCGCCGCGCTCTGGGACTAGTGTTTCATATTCACCTAACTGCAAAGGAGAGCCTCGTGAGACCACTACCAGAGACTCAAACCACACTCAGAGCGGGAAAGGAACGTGCGTGGTCTCGCAGTCCTAACTGTGGTCGGGGGGCTGCCGACGGCCATGCCGATCGCCGGACCCAGGACGGGCCTTCTGGAGTGGGGCGGAGGCCACAGCCCGCGCTCACCCACAGGCCTCCGAGCTCTGCTGGCCCCTGCGGGACACACTCCCCCACTCCGATGTGAAAGCAAACAGTAGCTAATACTTCACCATTCTTTCTCCACAAAAAATTCACGTTTTTTAAATTCCTTTCCTTCCCCCATCCTCTCCCCCACCCTGCCCCCGCCCCCAAAGCAGCGTTTCTTACCCAATATAATCCCGTTTAGAGTTTCTCCTTCTATAGAGGACAGCCAGGGTCATGCTGATGAGCAGAGTGAGACCCAGGACCACAGCAGTAACTATCCCCACCACCACCCAAACTGGAAACACGGGCAAGACCTCTGGAGAGAAAGAACAAAATCATTTTAAGGTACTTTGCTACCAAGAGAAGCAGGATTTTATTAAATCAATAAGTGAGTGCTTTAGCGGCTTCCACGTCCTCTGTAGTGTCCGTATTACGAGCTCCTGGCGTCCGACTGACGACGTGCACACACTCACGGGCGAAGGATGCGCTACAGAGCACAGCACGTCTGCCACACAACCCTCCCTCCCGATGCTCTAAAGCCAGAGAAATCCCAGGGCTGTGAATTTACCTCAATTTCCTCCCCAACAAAGCAGACTTTGTCTCAAAAGGAGACACCAGAACCTGCATTTCCTGCTTGTTTTCCAAGAAAGGGAAGGAAAACACTGTCCTGCTTTTGCAAATGTGGAAACTCTCCCTCGAAGGACATGGAAGCCGTACTCACCTTCTTTCCCACTGCCCACCCCTTCCACCCACTGTGAGTTCGGTCTTACTTCCAATTAATACTGAAGAAGGACATTCCTGAATTTGGGTGAGCGGGCTCCAAGGATACAGATGGGGAACCCGGCTCAAGCAGCCGGAGAAGCAGGGGCTCTCCGACCTTGCAGCCGTAGGTACATGGGGGCAGGGCACCTAACTGCAGACAAACATACTTGGAAATGTCACTCCTGCTCTTCAACTGAACCCGAGACAAAGGGGACTGTGTTACCACTGCCAAAACACTCAGGGAAGTACCTTTCTCTACGACATAGAGCCTAATGTGTCCCGGCTGGGCAACAATGTCAGGAGGGTTTTTGACGTCACAAATATAGGTGCCGTTGTGGATAAACTGCATATTTTCTATGTTGATGGACGCGTCTTTCTTGTCCAGGTCTCCAGCCCAGCTGGTCCTGTCCTTAAATGGTGGGTAATTCCCAGGATACACTTGCCCTTGGGAGTAGTGGAAAAACTGCAACCAGAAAAAAAAGACACATGAGCTCTTCTCACAGGCAGGCACCCCACACTCCGTAACGGGCGAAGACTTCATAGAGGAAGGCATACAACTCCACATGACAAGTGAGCTATGGGACAGAAGCCAGGCCAGCGTTTAGAAAGCACGCGGATCGAACCTATCTCAGCTGAAGCCATAAACTCGTGTATCATCTCAAATCTTCTCAATATGCCACCGGTGGAGTGATTACTGCCCATTCTTCATACATAAGGAAAAGGAGACTCAAAGAGACCATCTGTTCAAGGTCACAGTGACAACAGGGGGTGAACCCAAAGTCAAAGTCAGGACCATCTGACCCTTCAGAGCCAGTGACCACACCATGATGGAGACTGTGAATCCAAAGGTTTCCGTCTGAGTTCACAAAGTTTACCACTTAGCTCTAGAAAGCCCCGAAGCAGGTAAAGCCTAAATATCACAGAGCAGTTAGTTAATCTGACGGGCTTCTCCCTCTTACGTACTGGTTTCCCAGGGAAATGTTACAGGTGCACGAGAGGAAGCCCAGACACCCCGATGTCCTCACTTCTCTTCCAAGATCAGCCTTCAGCTAACTTTCCTCACACCAGCTTTTTAGCAAAGGAACTCATTTCTCAAAGCAACCTTGTCAAGCCCAGCACCTTGGAAGCTAGGTATGGTCTAGGGGCCGAGGGATCTCTCCTGATCCTGGGCTTCGATCCAAGCAGCTCTTTCTCCTTACTCCCGGGTGGGATGGGAGTGGGCCAGGGGAAACCTATAAAAACCAATGCAACCAGCTCATCTTATTAAACGTATTCTGATGCTTTTGAGTTAAAAGATCTTGTATCAACAGCCAAGCGTTCAGGAATTGCCTGTGATCCGGCTGGTGTGTAAGTGTAAACTGATCAGCTAGACACGCTAATGAACAACAGCACCTTCTCCAGAGTAAGTCTTGTGGACTTGCTGGGAGCCACCTGACAAGACCGTCTCGAGCATAAATGGAGCCAAGTTTTTGAGAGAAAGTTATTACCACTGGGTGTCTTCCTGGTGAGGTTTTATTTCCCGTGGACTGAGCGATGCCCCTCACACCCACTCTCACTGAAGGCTAAACCCTCACAGCTTTGGACTCATTTGAGTAAACTTATGTGTGCTAAATTTTGCATCTGTGGGAAGCATCTTTTGCACCGAGGCCATGTTCCCATGAAGATGCAGACCGCTTCCCCTGGTCGCCCGCACGACTCCTGCCCTCAGTCACTCCTATGCAAACTCACGGAGAGTCACCCCAGCTGTACCCAGTGAGTAAGTTAGCTAACCTCTGCACGCGTGGACTTGACCTCAGCCTGCCTTCCTTCTCTGGCATAACATCCAGGCTGTCTTCCTTTTTTATGAAAATCCCAGAAGACATAGGTCCACTTAAGGATTTGGAAGTCAGGTGTGATATATTCCAACCTGGAGCAACAGGTCTTGTTTTGGAGACTTAATTCAACAGTGAACATGTAGCTTTCCCGACATCGCATGTCGGGAAGTGAAGCCACTCAGGCTAAAGTTTTATTCCCGAGGCTCCAGTCATCTCTATACACACCGCCAGTTCCCAAAGGAGACCCTCAGGAGCTCATGATCTAGAGATAATGGACAGGCAGTCACTCTGTTCTTTCAGGAAAGGCATCAAGGGGATATTTTTTGCACAAAGACTCTCCGTTAAAAAAAAAAAAAAAGACACTCTCCACTTCCACAGATGACCAAATAGCAGCTTCTAGAGCTTCTAAACCATGCGTTCTCAACAGGGGTGACACCTCTCACCGCAGGGGGCAAATACTGGCTCTGAGGACAGAGAACAATAAGAAAAAAATCTTACTCTTTTTTACATATAAAACAGATTTAACAGTGTATCTGTGGTCTTAAAATTTCATAGAAGGGGGACAGAAATTAGGAAAGCATACTTCAAAGACACTCCGTAGGAAGGGGATAATGAATAATAAGACTGAGAGACACAGCTTGAAGCAATCCCTAAAGCCTAGAGACAGTAAACATTATAAACAAATGTTTCCCTCGGGCCGCCTGGGTGGCTCAGTGGGTTAAGCCTCTGCCTTCGGCTCAGGTCATGATCCCAGGGTCCCAGGATCGAGCTCCACATCGGGCTCTCTGCTCAGCGGGGAGCCTGCTTCCTCCTCTCTCTCTGCCTGCCTCTCTGCCTACTTGTGATCTGTCTGTCAAATAAATAAATAAAATCTTTAAAAACAAAACAAACAAAAAAAACACAAATGTTTCCCTCTGAGTGAGGGGAGACACAGTGGAAATAACAGAGCAACCAGAGGGCAACAAAACAGGGTTTGAACAATTCCCGCCTGTATGGTGTGACATGGGGTAGGTCACGACCCTCTGAGCAGTTTCCCATGCCCCCCAAGTCTGCAGTGGGAAACAAACATGTTCCTCGTGAGGGTGAGGAGGTGATAAGACGGGTGTGCGAGGGGCACAGCCTCCAGAGGGTGCTCAGGGATGTAACCCATCATCACGCAGAATTTATCTTAGAGAGAAGCAGCAGACTCTGTCCCTGCTGAGTACTGACACACTGAAAAGGGAGACCTGCTAGAGCATGTCCATGTGCAGATGGAACAACAGAAACAGGACAAACTGTGCACATGAGCCCCTCAGGAGCCAGACACGGTCCCAAGCACTTGCCGTGACAATCCTCTGCGACCCTCACAGCAGCCCCAGGGGGAGGGCTGCTCGTCCCCATCTTGCAGACATGAATCAGGGGGGCCGGAGTGCCGGGAGGGCTCAGTGGGTTAAGCGTCTGCCTCCGGCTCAGGTCATGATCTCAGGGTCCTGGGATGGAGCCCCGCGGGGAGTCTGCTTCTCCCTCTGTCTCTGACCCTCCCCCTGCTTGTGCTCTCTTACATGCTCTCTCTCAAATAAATAAATAAAATGTTTTAAAAGTACATTAAGAAAAGAACCAGATGGTCCATCCGCGTGGAATCACCACACTGCTTGGCCCGCACTCAGCTGCTGACAGACGAACCTTCCTGTCAGCTCTCTGGCGCTCGTCTCCGTTCGGCCGCTCACCTTAGTCTGAAATCCCCCCTGGGACCATTCCTACCCCCAATTATTCCAGAGTGAGAGCACACAACTCAGGACCCGCTGCACAGGAAGGCCCACGACTGCCGCGGAAGCAGACGGATTCTAAATAAAAACCCTCATACTTAAATCAGAAAGGAGAGTGTGTGTGAGTGTGTGTGTGTGTGTGTGTGTGTGTGTGTGTGTGTGTAAAACAGGAAGAGTTCAAAGAAATACAAATAAAAATGGGGCAAATGAAAGTTGAAATGGGGAGGATTAACCAGGATTGGTCAGCAGGGTTGACTGGAAGCTGCTCCATGGAAGAGGAATCCCATAAGGGGATGTGATGGAGAACAGGGGCCGGTGAGCGGGGCGGGCCATCTGCGCAAGGCCAAGGAAAGAACTGCATTTCAAGGATGCCGAACTTATTTCTCCCCGGAGAGCTTGAAGTAAGAGAAGGGCCCTGGAATCTGAGTGTCAACACAGTCCTTTGGGAAGCGAACCAGCCATCGGAAGAACGTACATTCACGACAGGACAGCAGGGGAGAAGCGGGGAGGGAGGCTCGGCAGGAGGACGTGAGCATGCCTACCGACACAGTGGTGTCGGTCCCCTCTGGCTGGAAGCTCCAGGAGACCGAGGTCGACGTGCCCGTGGTGTTAGCGGACTTGAACTTGCAAGTCAGCTTCCCTTGTGTCCCATTTGCCACGAAGATTTCCTTTGGCGTATACACCTCCAAGGCTGGCACGCCAGTGGTCACTGGAGAGAGAAGACCAAAGAGAGCCTGAGTCGGGCTTAGCGAACACCATGCGCTGACCTATGAGGACAGACGCAAAGACCACGAGAGTCACTCGATGTCTGCTGCACATCTGCGGCTGTCGTGTACTACGCGCGTCTGGCAGAATGTCCCACCGCCAGGTACTGCCCACAAGCAGGGCAAACTGCTGACCACCCAGGACTTCGTTCCTGCTTTTCAGCAAGAAGATATTTTCACTATTCAGCTATACCTAATGTCTGTGTTTTCTTTCAAATTAACCAGACTTGGGGCACCTGGGTAGCTCAGTGGGTGAAGCCTCTGCCTTCGGCTCAGGTCATGATCTCAGGGTCCTGGGATAGAGCCCTGCATCGGGCTCTCTGCTCAGCGGGGGGCCTGCTTCCCCCTCTCGCTGCCTGCTTCTCTGCCTACTTGTGATTTCTGTCAAATAAATAAAATAAAAAAAAAAAAATATATATATATATATAATTAAATTAACCAGACTTTATTTCTTAGAGCAGTCTTAGGGTTATAGAAACGACGAGCAGGAAGCAGAGGGTTCCCATCTCTTCCCTCACTCCCTCGCCCCCTCCAAGTTTCCCTATTAGTAACATCTTTTGTTAGTGTAATACACTGGACCACTGATGAGTCAATATTGTTAACTAAATCCCACCCTTTATATTAAGGCTCACTCTGTGCTATCCATATCATGGGTTTTGACAATGTATCCACTATTACAGTCAAACAGAATCATTCTACTGCCCTAAACTCCGTGTCCTGCCTGTTCACTCCTCTCCTCCCTGCCCCAAGCCCCTGGTAACCACTGATTTTTTCTACTGTTTCTTTGCCTTTGCCAGACCATTATGTGGTTGGAATCATAGAGCAAATGTAGCCTTTTCTTTTTTTTTTTTTTTTAATGGATTTACTTATTTGACAGACAGAGATCACAAGTAGGCAGAGAGGCAAGCAGAGAGAGAGGAGGAAGCAGGTTCCCCGCCGAGGGGAGAGCCCGATGCAGGGCTCGATCCCAGGACCCTGGGATCATGACCTGAGCCGAAGGCAGAGGCTTAACCCACTGAGCCACCCAGGCGCCCCCAAATGTAGCCTTTTCAAATTAGCTGCTATCACTTAGTAATATTTAAGTTTCTTCCATGTCATTTATAGCAAGAGAGCTCATTTCTTTTTATTGCTGAATAATGGATATTATTTATGGGTCTTCACCTCCTGAAGGACATCTTGGTTGCTTCCCTGATGGTCTATTTTTAATAATGTTGAGGGCATGTTTTTTTCCACTTCTTTAAACAGTTCTACCTGTTAAATTTCAACTGCGATCACACTAAACTTTTCTCATCTTCTATATTTAATGTAATTCAAACTATTCTGGGTACAGTATCGCTTCATTTAGAGCCATATTAAGAACACGTGGGTGGCTCAGTCATTAAGCACTGGACCGGAGCTCAGCTCAGGTCAGGGTCTCAGAATCTTGGGATCAAGCCCCCACTGAACCCCGCGATCGGTGGGGACTCTGCTTGAGATTGTTTTTGTCTCTCCCTCTGCCCCTCCCCTTCCCTGCACTATAATAAACAAATAAATCTTAAAAAAAAAAAAAAAAAGCCAGGGCCCCCGTGTGGCCCAGAAAGTGAAGCGTCTGCCTTCCACTGGGCCAGAGGCCCGAGCCAGCCGTGAAGAGCCTGCTTCTCCTTCTGCCCCTCCCTGTAGCCCCTCCTCCACTGTGGACACGCGCTCTCTCTCCCTCTCCAGCAAAAATAAATAAATAAAATCTTTAAAAAAAAAAAAAAAAAAAAAAGCCAAGTTTATTGTTTAACTGACCCGAAATTTCCTTTAAGGGATTTAAGGCAAAAATATGCACAACACATTCTGCTTTCCTTAGTGAAACTGTATCTACTGCTAGTTTCCGTGTGCCATAGAAGAACCAGCTGCACACCCTGGGTCACATTTTCACTTCACCCACTGAGTTCATGCAGTTAGCCTAAGCCCAGAAATAGTTGTTAAAATGTCTATCACTTATAATATAAAAATAGCTCCTTTTTTCAAATCTGTAAGCAGAGCCAACTGCAAGAATTTTAAGGATTGCTGCTAAAATAAAATAATCTTCACTCAAAAAAGACATGTTCATGGATCAAATGAAGGTTACAAAGAAAATAATTTAGCCTAAAAATGAAACCAATTAAAGCCTACATAGAAAAGATTATCTTCCAAATAAAGATTTTTTTTAAGGACACAGTTTGGGAAAAATCCGTACCCGCAGTGTCCCGTTTCTTCTTCGAATGTAACAGATGAGCACAACAGGGAAGGGCACTGTCTACCAGCCAGGCCTGACGATCATGCGCAGAACGTTTTCTTCCTGAGGTCTTAACCACGGCTCTCGGCCGAGGAGAACAAGTCCTCCCCCAGTCCTCCCAACCGTCTTCCAAATGTTTATTCTCAGGACACAATGGGCACTTTTGGCTATTCTCTTAAATAAACTGATAGCCACACTGCACCAAGCAGACTTTTTCTGCTAAGGAGGGTGGATGATTATTATAGAGAACAATGGATTATTATTTGTGGTCCAAACCTCAAAACAAGCCCTTCTTTCAAACAAGAAGCAAACAAAAGATGTTCCCTGCCATCGTGGGTAGGCAGGAAAGCACGCCAAGGCATCGGGAGTCCAAAATGAAGGACAAAGCACAAGGCCAGGCCATCGGACCAGGTTATCCCAGGAAGCGGCACTGGTTGATAGCCCTTACTTACGCTGCGCCATTTTGACTGGTTTCCTCCACAGGGGTGAGCGCTGCAAGGGAAGCCAATCTACAACGCCAATTAATAAGTCTCCTCAAGGGTTTTCTTTGGCCAGATCCCTGCCTCAAGGCTGGCTTGCAAAATCTGACACCTGAGAGGTTATTTAGAGATGGAACTGGGCCAAGGGTCCGAGTTTATAGTCACTGAATTTTGACCATAAAGACAAACCAAATCCCCAAGTGGCTTTTAGACAATCCAAGACAGACTTAATGTTAATGAACAAGTGACTTAAAAAAAAGGTCACTCTTTGGCTGATTAGGACAGGAAGCTCTTACAGCCAGGATTAGGAATTCCAACTCTGGCCAATCAGCAGTTCCAATAAAATAAAATAAAATGGCTCCATACAGACCTAGTTAACATCCTCTCATCCCTGGCTCACTCGTTCTCAGCAGCATTACCCTTGCCCCAGCTCTTGGAGATCCCATTAGTTGTAAAATGAACCTTCCAAAGCCCCAGCCTCTTTGTTTATCTTCTCTTTCCCTGTGATCTTATCCTCAGGCCTATCGCAGCCGCTCATTCCCACATCCTTCCCTAGGCCAGGGCTTTGGCCCTGCTGAAAACTGGGCTGCCCTGCTCCCTGCTCAGGGGCTGTCCCCTGCAGAACAGGGTGTTTAGCACTGACACTGACCTCTACTAGATGTCAGTGGCATCCTCTCCCCTTCTAGCCGTGGCAATCAAAAAATGTCCCCGGACTCTGAAACAGCTTCTCGGGGCCAAACTACCCATAGCTGAGAACCACGGCCCCAGACCCTATTATTAATATGAGCACACCCTCCACAATCTCATGCTTCTCTACTCTCTGACTCCACCTCCTGTCTTTCCAGGGCACGTCCCCCAAGACCCTGATTTTGCCAATCCTTCAGCTGCAGCAGAACCTAAAGATCCATTGACCCTCCAGTCTCTTTATGGTCTCTCATGCTCAGCACGTCTTCGTTTTGTCCTACTCAGACTGGTTCCCAGGTATATGACTGGACCCATCCCCTGGCTCTCTCCCCTCTGTTCATTCAACCCAATCCTGTACCTGCCCCCCACCCCCCGCATCTCCACCGAGACAGCGGAGCACAGACGGAGAAAAGGATACAATCCCACAGGCTGGTTTCACCTGAAACTCATGACCACTAACTTAAAAGGGGGCTCTTAATGCTGTCCAGCAATCCTTCCCCATTTCCCTAGTCCATCTACTTTGCCACTTTCACATCTTCCTCTCTAACCTCGACTCTCCCCCGAACACCGTGCTTCCTATTTCACTGAGAAAGCAGAAGCAAGCAGCAAAGAACTTCCCCAGTCCCCACAGGAAAAGAAACCTCTGTGCTCCTCTCTAAGGCCGGCCCCTCTACACAGGACCTCTTCTCTGGCCTAACTAAGGATGGCAGTCAGCAACTCTTCCTCTTTCTCCGGAATGTTCACTCTCCTGAGTCACCGCCAGCAGCCGCATACACACCCACATCTATATCTACATCCCAGCTGTACGGAAAAAAACCTTGACCCTGCATCTCCCCACCGTGATGGCTGTTTCGTTCTCTTCTATTTTACAGATCTTCAAAGAATGGTCCATATTTACTGTGCCCAAGGTCTCTCCTCCCATATTCTCTTGAATAAACCCAACCCAGGCTTTTATTCTCAGTCCCCCACTGAAGCTCTTCTTGTCAAAGAATCCGATGATTCCATGCGTCTAAATAAACAGTCAGTTCTCAGTCCTCCACATGGCACACAGTTGATGGCTTCCCACCTGGAACAACTGTTCTTTCTCAGTTTGACTTCTGAGATGCCACTTGTTGGTTCTCGTATCTCACTGCCTGCTCCTTTTTAGCTCTCCTGACCTCTGTAGTGGGAGAGTTCCAGACCCTCCTGCTGACCCCTTATCTCTTCTCTTGATGACCTCATCTAGTCTTAAAGCTGTAATTATCCCCTAAATGCTGCGCACGCCTGCACACAGACACACACACAGACACACACACACACACACACACACACACACACACAATGTCCATCAACAGCCTCACTTGGCTCTAACTGGCATCTCAAACAGTATGTGTGGACCGACTTCCTGACTCCCGCTCTCAAACCCACTGCTCCGCAGCCCCTTCCCCTCCGTAAGCGGCGATGCCAGCCTTCCAGTGGCTGAGGCTTCCTGACACTGCTTTCTCACACTCGCCTCCATGCTGTCACCAAACACGCTGTGTCTACTTAGAAACATCTCTCA